ATAGACTGTAAAAATAAACTAAACTAGGAAACACGATTCCATTTTTTCCTTTAATTTCACTGAGTTCTAAATTAATGAAAACTAAAGTGAACGCAAACAAAGCACTTCCTGTAATGGTTTCCTTCTTTGTAAATCAGCTTTAAACTGAGCTTTTACCTGAACTGTGAAATAAACTCAGTTATAAATAAAGTCCTTTCCGGTGTTTTATGATATCTGCAGGAAAAATACTAGAAACTACTTTAAAGAGAAAACATTTGAATTAAAATAAATTATTTTGAGATTAAAATAATAAAACGTTCCTCTCGTGATAGTTTGTATTTTTACTTTAACACTTTATGAATATTTTTAAACACTTAAAGTTGTGATTTCTTATCCCTCGTCTCCTGGTCTCCCTCCTCTTCCTCCTGGTGTCCCTCGTCCTGGTCTCCCCGGTCTCCCTCCTCTTCCTCCTGGTCTCCCTGGTCCTGGTCTCCCTGGTCCTCCTCAGTCCATGTTGGGGATTTTCTTCATCACTCACTCAGCCGTGCTAATCGAAGACGTGCCGTTTGAAGAGGCAGACATTCACCAGGAGTAAGATCTTTAAATATTCGTACGTGTTGGCCTTTGACCCCGAGGGGGGTCACTTTATGACATCACACAGGCGGAGCGTGTTTGTTTTAGTTGTGTTTTTGACAGTGTATGTTTTCTCCCTTCAGTAATCCTCAGAAGATCTACGAGCTCTACGATAAAGTCGGGTATAACTGCATCATCGCCGCCGCCATCTACGTCTTCTTTGGATCGTTTTCGTTTTGCCAGATGAAACTCAACAAGCGGAAGGTCATTCCACCACGATGTGATTCTTATCTTTTGATGTGAGGTCGAAAATGACTGACTGACCGTGTTCTCCTGTTGTTGTTCTGTAGGATTACCTGGTGCATTAGCGCCCCCTGCTGGCCTGGAGGCTGACTGCTGGTTAAAGGCGCATGATCGCTGAGCGAGCGGATTGAAAGATGAAGAGGATTGTAGAATAAACTATTCATAAATGATGAGTCGTCTGCACTGTAACAGGAATGTGTTTGATGTTAATTTATTTCAGGTGTCGCTTCTTTGAATAAGCTGAGAAACGTCTGTGATTGGATGTGATGAAACGTTGATTTCATGGTCACAGTTTCAAACAATAAAAAGTGTATGCAATCAATCAATCAATTTTTATTTGTATAGCGTCAACTCATAACAAGTGTAATCTCGAGACACTTTACAAAAAGCAGGTAAAAGACCTTACTTATTGCTATAAGTATTAAGTTCATATGTCGGCTACATGTGCTATTACCGCTAATCATGTTAAAAGGGCTTTCCATACAGCGACATCGTTTCAAACAAATGAAGGACAGAAAAACGAATTACAGATTCATTAAACTTGTAATAAAGAATGATGACATGACTACAGTTACAACCTGTGACCACCAGAGGGCGGATCTGTCCTCACCGGATAACGGATCAAAGGACTCCAGATGTTTTGGAAAAGGGACCCCGGATTGGTTATCTTTTCTAGGGGCGGAGTTGTAGTCAGAGGCGCTGCAGCCGCTTTACAACAATGGCTCAAAATCTGAAAGTTTTCAATAGCAGAAACCCCTTTAAGGTGGCCCCCGTCTGATAATTCTTGTTGCCTGGTGAAGCGTTGCAGCATCGTTTGTAAATGAAAGTCAGCGCAGGAAAAAGAAGTCGTTTATTCTTCTAATGAATAAAATCTGTACAAACATTATAAAAAGATATCGTTCCAGAATAGAGCAACAACCCTATTGGCCAATCAGCTTCATGTTTTTAATCAAAGTGATTTGATTTGAAATTTCATGAAACAGAAAATACATGAGACATGTTTAACATTTATAAACTTTATTAATACTTCACTGATCATCTTTTAACCAATAGAGAGCGTGCGTTGCTTAAATACTACAGATACGTGACCATATTTGGAAAAGGGGGAGGAGCTGGAGAGGAGTGATGACAGGCTGTCTGCATGTGTGTGTTTATATAGTGATGCTGTTCTCGATGCGGCTCGGCAGCAGGTATAGGTACTGAAGCTCCGCCCCTTCGTTCTCACTCCGAATGTGCTCCTCAATCTCCTTCAGCTCCATCCTGAATCTGTCAATCACCTGCTGAGCCCGCCCCTCAGTGAAGTGCTCCTCGGTGTACTGACCCAGAGGGATCTACAGGAGGAGGAGAAACAGGAGGAGGAGTAAGAGGAGGAGATGGAGGAGGAGGAGGAAGAGGAGAAACATTTAACCCTTTAGTGACTTTTTGACGTGTTTACAGGTTCAAAGGCTGATCAGTCCTTTAGTGAATCTCATCTCTGAATTGTTTCCACAATTCCTCGACATTGCAAGAAGTGTCCTGTTTCAAAATGAAACGGGATATTCTTTGTTACGTAGACACATTTCTTTAGAGGGAGAAAACATCCCAAAAACAAACTATTCATCAGAATAGTGTCTGAGTCATTTTAAACATCTCTAACGTGTCCTCGTCAGCCTCCTTCCTTTTCTTACACTTTAGTTGTAGGTGAGTTATAGGTGACTCTGCAGAGCCGTTTGCTTCAGAACGATTTGATGTTTGAAACTTTACATCATGTCTTTAGAAACCAATGTCAGTTGACACAGAGAAACTCACAGCGTCCGGCTGAGCTCGTCCCAGGTGCCAGGTGATCGCCATCTGAACACACGATTGGCTCACATCAGGGAGGGTGTCCATGATCATCTCCATGGTAACAGCATCCTTGTCCGTGGGTGGGGGGTGTCTCATGGTGCAGGGGGTGTTTGGGACCCAGGCGCACCAGTCGAACTTTAAACACCCCGACAGAGAGACACAGAGTGAGAGACAGAGGATGTGAAACTCTTTAGAAGAATAGTGAGTCAAAGCGTCTCTGTGAGATTAACGCTCTAAATAAAGGTTATTTAAAAAAACTCTGGTATGAAAACAGAGTGTGTGTGTTTGTGTTCACCTGTCCGTTGTTTGTCGCGGCGTGTTGAGCCGTGCTGATAAAGATTACGACTGAAAGCAACGTGTAGACCTCTTCTCTGCTGCTCAGTTTACTGCTCAGACCTGAACAGAACACCATCATTCATCACAACAAACACTAATATTATATATATGTGTGTGTGTCATTAATTCTGCATCATCGTATGAAGTCAGCTGTGCTTATATGGGGCGTCCATCCATCACGACCATTCATTTGGTTTGAAATAGGACTAAACTATTTTCTTTCTACTATCTATAAAAGAAGCTGAACTTAACCTTTATGTTTCCTTAATTTGCCCAAACTTTAATATAAACCATTAACAAGTAACTTTGGATGTGACACTTCATCCTGGACATTCAGCATCAGATACAGAAGGTAAAAGAATGACTGACCAAAGTTTGGGAGCTCTGTGAATCCTTCCTGAGTGATGTCTCTGATCCATGCCTGCAGTTCAAGATCTTCCTCAACATCCTGATCTGACAGGTAATACAGGTCCACCACACCTGAGACAAACCTGAGGGACAGAGACAACACAGAGACAAACATGAGAGACAGAGACAAACCTGAGTGACAGAGACAACACCTGAGACAAACCTGAGAGACAGAGACAACACAGAGACAAACCTGAGAGACAGAGACAAACCTGAGTGACAGAGACAAACCTGAGAGACAGAGACAACACAGAGACAAACCTTAGAGACAGAGACAAACCTGAGTGACAGAGACAAACCTGAGAGACAGAGACAACACAGGAGACAAACCTGAGAGACAGAGACAAACCTGAGGGACAGAGACAACACCTGAGACAAACCTGAGAGACAGAGACAACACAGAGACAAACCTGAGAGACAGAGACAACACATGAGACAAACCTGAGGGACAGAGACAACACTGAGACAAACCTGAGAGACAGAGACAACACAGAGACAAACCTGAGAGACAGAGACAACACATGAGACAAACCTGAGGGACAGAGACAAACCTGAGACAAACATGAGGGACATTCGTCTCATGGTAATGGTGAGTGTATGTGGTTTACCTGTGTATGTGTGTGTGTGTGTACCTGTGTATGGCGTCCCACAGCAGCAGGCTGTGCTCTCTGTAGTGGTATTTGTCCAATCGGGTCACTCCTCTGTCTGTGAAGTCGTATCGAGGCTGCAGTGAGCGATACGTCAGCACCTGATACTCCCTCTGTGACAGAACCAACAGACCTTCCCCACCTGTGGACACCACCTGATCACACACAGACACACAGAAAAACACACACACACACACACACACACACACACACACACACACACACAGACAGACAGACAGACAGACAGACAGACAGACAGACAGACAGACAGACACACACACACACACACACACACACAGACAGACAGACAGACAGACAGACAGACAGACAGACAGACAGACACACACACACACACACACACAGACAGACAGACAGACAGACAGACAGACAGACACACACACACACACACACACACACACACACACACACACAGACAGACAGACAGACAGACAGACAGACAGACACACACACACACACACACACACACACACACACACACACACACACACACACACACACACACACACACACAAAGACAGTTTTATAAAGTGATATAAAGATTTATAAGCTGATTGGGGTAGGCAGTTTTAATCACATGATCTGACCCGTTTGAAGATGCCGTTATCAGAGATGAGCTGAGTGCGCCCCCTACAGTTTATCTCCAGAGTGTATCGCAGGTGAGGAGCCAGCAGCTGAAACAGGAAGACAAAAAACACAAAATGTTCAAGGTGCAACAGAAGTACAACTCGTTAACTGACTAACTTAACGAGTCATAGAGCTACTGGGAGACAAAAACTAATTCTGAAGTTCAAGACAAGAATCACAATATTACAGAGAAAGTCTTCAGTCATTATAACAAAAGTAAAAGAGTTGATTTATGAGAATAAAGATCACTGTGTGTATGATCACTGTGCGTATGATCACTGTGCGTATGATCACTGTGCGTATGATCACTGTGCGTATGATCACTGTGTGTGTATGATCACTGTGCGTATGATCACTGTGTGTGTATGATCACTGTGTGTGTATGATCACTGTGAGTATGATCACTGTGTGTGTATGATCACTGTGTGTGTATGATCACTGTGAGTATGATCACTGTGTGTGTATGATCACTGTGCGTATGATCACTGTGTGTGTATGATCACTGTGCGTATGATCACTGTGCGTATGATCACTGTGCGTATGATCACTGTGCGTATGATCACTGTGCGTATGATCACTGTGTGTGTATGATCACTGTGTGTGTATGATCACTGTGAGTATGATCACTGTGTGTGTATGATCACTGTGTGTGTATGATCACTGTGAGTATGATCACTGTGAGTATGATCACTGTGTGTGTATGATCACTGTGAGTATGATCACTGTGAGTATGATCACTGTGCGTATGATCACTGTGTGTGTATGATCACTGTGAGTATGATCACTGTGAGTATGATCACTGTGTGTATGATCACTGTGTGTATGATCACTGTGTGTGTATGATCACTGTGCGTATGATCACTGTGTGTGTATGATCACTGTGAGTATGATCACTGTGAGTATGATCACTGTGCCTATGATCACTGTGTGTATGATCACTGTGAGTATGATCACCTTGTAAACAGGGTGCACAGCAGGCAGCTGTCGTAGAGTTGCCACACAGAACACCTCTATGACCAGGTGAGTCCTGAGCAGGTGAGACAGCAGCTGGAACACCTGGAACTCAGAGTGACGCACCCACATCTTGGCCAGCAGCCAAGTGAGGGGCGGGTCTGTGGGCAGGAAAATGGGTGTGTCCAAACCGGGAGTCTGCTCCAGCTAAAGAAACAACAAAAGAGATGTTTAGTGTTGGAGAGGCCTTTGATGATCAGCTGTTTGTTTTGACGTGTAGAAGAAACACCTGTATTCATGGTTAATGTTTGATCTGCTCAGAGGTATTTCAGTACCCTCACCAACATTTAAGGATCTTTCACTCAAAATTTGTTACGTTCATTTGAATGTTTTCATGATATATTCTCTGAAGAGGTGACCCCATAGTCTCAAATCTTTGACCATTCGTTGGTCAGACCTCAGTCGACCGGCAGTCTTACAGTCGAGCATGAGGATCGTTCCATTCCAGGTACATGGGGGTGTTTAACTTTGTCTAACTTTACATAGATGTGTCTGTTTTCTCCAAATAATTCATGGCTCATAGCCTCTCTTGGTATAAATATCTCTTTATTAATACTTTTAATGCAGTTCTGCAAAATATTGAAAGCAGGCACTGCCAAAAAAAGAACGCTGTTTGTGGACACGCCCCCTCACAGTATGATGATACGTCTGAGGATGATCTTCTGTGTTATAAAAACATTGTTCAGGTTTACATGAAATCTCCGTCAGTCCTTCAGTGCGACTCTGTGGTCACGAGGAGAGGAGTCATTTACCTGTATAGCAACAGGTATGAGTCCCTGGTCCGGGTGTTGGTACAGGAGGCAAAGCGGAGCAGCGATATGCTGACGTGTACCTCGGATCGTGTTGGTGGGAATCCCGTCTGTGATGGCGTAGTCCAACAGGTAGATATTACCTGCCTGAGAGGAGGCGGGGCATTAAGAACAATGATACGGGTGATGTAAACATTAATGAGTCCTGTACAGGTGGTTAAGAACAGATTTAGTTTTCTCCACCTTCAGTTCTCTGTCCAGGTGAGTCCGGGGACTCATGGAGCTCTGCACCATGTTCGCTGTGATGGGGAAATTCTCCGGAAGCTTCTTACACCTCTGGATCATCCTCGGGTTGGAACCGTTCATACACTGATACCCAAAGAACCAGTCGTCCCTCCAGTGCTCCATACAGTACTCTGACAGACACACACACGCAGACACACCCATAAGCACACACACACACACACACACACACACACACACACACACACACACACACACACACACACACACACACACACACACACACACACACACACACACACACACACACACACACACACACACACACACACACACACACACAGTGGATTTGTCTAATTTCTTGTCCTCAGGTTTAGTTGGGAGTGAGTGGTTTGTGTTTATTTACCAGCTACGGGACTCCGAAGCTTCCAGAAGATCCGTTTGAAGTCTTCCAGGTCGTTCCAGGACTTTCCAAACTTGATGGCCAGTTTCTTGAGAGACAGCTCCAGCAGGCTGAGGGGGACGGGGGAGAGAGAGGAGGTAGGGGTGGTGTCACTTTAATGTTATGAAGGTTTAATTAACAGGAAACCAAACTGTCACCTGGAGGTCAAAAGATCCTCCAGCACAAGTTTAATTCTGCATAAACAGTTTTTTGGCTGTCAAGTGTGTGTGTGTGTGTGTGTGTGTGTGTGTGTGTGTGTGTGTGTGTGTGTGTGTGTGTGTGTGTGTGTGTGTGTGTGTGTGTGCTTAGCACCTACGCGTAGTGTAAGGAGTGTTCAAAGTCGCTCCTCTTCTCGTTGTCAAAGCGGACATCTTGGGGTAAATCTGCTTCTGTTTTTGCGTCGATACATCTGGGAATCCCTGGAGCCCAAGTCACCCATCTAAAGACAAGATACACACTTTATAGTGTGTGTGTGTGTGTGTGTGTGTGTGTGTGTGTGTGTGTGTGTGTGTGAGACCTGTAGGCAGACTTTCTCTCCTGTAGCTCGGCCTTCCTGTGAGTGAGCAGCTGAGGGGACGAGTCGTCTTTCAGGGTCTTTGCTGTTGAGGAGACAGAAACACACAGCTGTTTGTTGTTCTTATATCTAACAAGCTAAAAGGAAGGTCGCTGTTTGTTTGCTTGACTTAAGAGGAAAATAGTGAGTCCATTTATGACACGAAGTGAAAATCTGCCAAGTGGTGGACTCTGACGCTTCAGTGTTTAGCCAGCTCTGCATCGGTCTGTAAACCTTTCAGCTTTCTAACCTCTCTCCATTTTTCAAAAGCATCTCCAAAATTGATCCTAGTTTGAGCACGTTTCTGCTCGTGGAGCTTATTAGAAACATGCAGAGGCTTTTTAGGTCGGGTACAATCACTTCTATCTGAACCACTTCTCTTGCCCACTTCCATCTCTGCAACACCTGTTGGTTTGACCTGATAACTGCTCTCATATCTGGAAAACCGAGGGGCGTCCAAAACGGCCGTGTGGGGGGGCCTTAAAACCGCCTACCTTCTCTGGTCCAAACAAATCCAGATCATTCAGGACCAGAATCTAAAGTTAGAATGAGGAACTATAACTGTATTTTGAATTCATGCAACATCAGTGTTCAGGAAAACGAGTCTGACATGGACTGATTCTGGATCAGTTAGTTTGTGAGTTCACAGTGAGGGGTTAATCCTACCTGTTCCCTCTCTGATCTCCAGCTTTATGTCCCCTATTAACCAGCGGTAACACGGGAAGGTCATCGGTTTGTCTCCCCCTGGAGGCTCCACTGTGACGTAGCGACAGAACCAGTTATCTTCCACCCAGTACCTCTGTTTCTCCAATCTGACCAGTAACAGGGCGCCCAAAGGTGCACTGCTGCTCACCTTGTACTGATCCACCTGGTGGAGAAAGTGAGGACTAATTACAAGCTTTGAGGCAGTAAAACTTTCTACCAGCAAACACTCACAGGTGGGCCGTTGGTAGGCTTCAGGTTCCTCATTGCAGCCCCCCATTACCTGAGGGGGAAATTCCTTCACAGTAACAACCCTACCATCACCCTCACTGACTCTACATCAGTCTACCTGGCAGTCTTCTCACGCTGAGTCTTTTAGGACAGGACCACCTCACCTGAAGGCAGAGATATCCATTGATCTGTTTACATTCCAGCCCTGCCATGTTCAGGCAGGAACTGACAGAGTGAGATCCCAGAATAGAGGCAGGAATGTTTGTTCTGCAGGGAGTGAGAGTGGGAGGGGGAGACCAATTTACTTCATTGGGAGGAAGCATAGGCGGTAGGATGATCCAGAATCCTTTCTAAAAGCGTGCTTATAACCTTTAGGAGGTTTAGCTGAAGAGGGATTACGTTTCTGTGCTTCTTGTTGGACCAGGTCACTTAGATCCGGTGATGTTTACTCAGTGCTAAAGGATATGAAGTAGGGTGACCTTCCATCCTGCTTTGACCAAGTCCATCCAGTTTTCAAGCTCTGTGTCCCGAGTCACCACAAATATCTCTCAAACATGACTTTGTGCTGGTTTTGAACAGTCCATGTCCTGGTTTGGACTAACTGATATACTAAATATTGTAAATATGCTTACAACACTGACATGCCGATCACTGATCAGGTGATTGATTACATCAATGAAACCCTTGTCTTCTCTGGTTACTGCTGTTCTATAATTACATTTGTTTATTTAAGTTTTGGTTGATCTTGGGAGACATGGTTTGTTACCTACTGTTCAAAGGTGCACTGATGAAAAATGACATCGTGCCATGAGCTGATACATGGGGGTTTATGGCAAATTTAAAGTGTCTGTATTTAGAGGTTTGAAAATATCATCACCCTACTATAGGTGCCTCCAAATGTTGCTGTTGGAGCATGACTGTGCACAAAGGGTGGTCCATGAAGCGAGGAACATGGAGTCCTTTACTCATGGATATGTACTTTTAGTTGGGACTGAAAAAGTTCATTTAGAGTAGAACTGTTGCTCCTGCACACTAGAAGAAGCTGATGTGGTTTGGGGATCAGATTAGGACCCTCCTGGGAACCTCTCTTTGGAGGGGCTCTAAACAAGTTCAACTGAAAGGAAACCTTGGGATAGACCAAGAAAACTCTGGAGGCATTATTTACCACGTCTGACATGGGAACAAGGAGGAGATCAAAAACGTTTCAAACTAAATGAACCCAGTTAGAAAGAAAGAAAATGAATGGATGGATCGAACGGTACTTACTGCTCCTTTGCAGAAGTCCAGTCCAGGGTTGTCCAGCAGGGTGCGCTCACTCTCCCCTTTCTCTCCCACCAGGGTCACATAGATGTAGTTGTTGGTGCCTGAATAATCGGAAGTCCCCGTCGCTACTGTCACTGTGTAGACCTCCATCTAAGGACACAAACACAAACACAAAGATGGATGGATAGAGGTTTGAGGGATGATGGAGGGATAGATGGATGTTTAATGGATAGATGTTTGATAGATGGACGGAAGGATGTTTGATGGATGGGTGAATGGATGGATGGATAGATGTTTGATGGATGGATGGATGATGGATGGATAGATGTTTGATAGATGGATGGATGGATGGATGGATGGATGGTTGTTTGATGGATGAATGATGGATGGAGTGATAGATGGATGGATAGATGGATGGATGGAGTGATGGATGATGGATGGAGTGATTGATGAATGGATGGAGTGATGGATGGATGGATGTTTGATAGATTGAGTGATGGATAGATGGATGGTTGGATAGATGGATTGATGTTTGATGGATGGATGGATGGATGTTTGATGGATTGAGTGATGGATAGATGGATGGTTGGATAGATGGATGGATGTTTGATGGATGGATGTTTGATGGACTGAGTGATGGATAGATGGATGGTTGGATAGATGTATGGATGTATGGATGTTTGATAGATGATGGATGGATGTTTGATGGATGGATGGATGTTTGATTGATGGATGGATGGATGTTTGATAGATGGATGGATGATGGATGTTTGATAGATGATGGATGATGGATGTTTGATGGATAGAGTGATGGATGATGGATGGATGGTTGTTTGATGGATGGATGTTTGATGGATGTTTGATGGATGGATGGATGGAGTGATAGATGGATGGATGGAGTGATGGATGGATGGATGTTTGATGGATTGAGTGATGGATAGATGGATGGATGGAGTGATGGATGGATGGATGGATGTGTAAAAAGACTTCCATCTCATCGTGTACAAAGGCACATTCTCCAAAACTTTACAAAAGTACTGTATTTCAAGGAAAACCACATTTTTGAATAATCCTAACTTTGTGGTTTTTGTCCTCAAACAAATCCAAACATTGACTGCGCTCCAACGTTAACCACATTAATTATCTAATGTTCTGGTTGTAGCGGCGTTGCTCAGGTTAACAAGTCTTTATGACTGAAAACAGGACATCAATGTTGCACAGCCATATATGGACATAACCATGAATATATTTATTTTCTTATATATGTAAAGTAGATTTTGTAACGCTGCTGTTCAGGATTGCTGCCAACAAAGTTTGGTTGTATTCTTTGTGATGACAGTGAAGGGCCTCTCTATGGGCCGATCAGGTCAGAAACAGGAAGTCACAACAGGAAACGCAGAGTCACCTGCCTCAATCATCTTCACTTGCCTCAATCATCTTCACTGTTAAATGTAAAGTAAGCCCGACTGACGTGTGATCTTTATTAAAAACATGAACAGAATGATACGTCACCATGAAGTGTACAGCTGACCTGTCACATCGGGCTGAGGAGGTGTTCCTGTCTGTGCTTCCATGTTAGCATACAATAAAGTTTATGATGGAGTCGTTGTGTCAACATGTCAATGTCCTCTATTTGGTTCCTGTTTTTAATGTGGCTCCGCCCTCCCAAACACAGAGCCAGCTTCTCTAACAACCAGACTGGTCTGCTCAGAAACAAACACCATCCAACATCTTCAGCCACATAAAGATCAGGATCCTCTGAGTGGACAACCATCTCCCCTGACTGGTTTAACAAACTCCTCCTACTGGACCTTTAACTCTGATTCCATAGATTTGAAACACCATCTCAACATGAGCTGATGGTCATGGTGTTATTCATGAGGAAACTAAAGAGTTAAAGATTGTTTACATGATGCTGCTGTTAGACGGCTCAGAAATGTTCTGTTGTATACAAACTGTGTTCAGTGATTCGCTCGCCTGAGGGGTCTGATGAGCAAATATCATAATTTTATTTAGAAATAATTTAAATATCCTTTCAAAGAAAAACCAAATGAGTAAACCACACGGATGCAAATAATCTGATAAGAATTCAGAAACAGCAGGTGAGTCTGTCAACCATCACAGCAACAAACTAGTAGAACACAGATCCACAGATCGTTAAGCAAACTGCTTTAGTTGGTTAACGTCATAGAACTCCTCCATTTAAAGAAAGCAAAACCATGACAGGCATTTTTAATTCAGCAAGGAGTTGATTTTAAAGCTCCTGTGAGGGACAACGTTTCATCTTCAGAGCTCATCGTCCCGTCTCTGAACATCTGGAGCCGCGATCAGCGACTCAGGACAGAGTGTACTAAATACAGAGGTGTGTGTGTGTGTGTGTCAGCAGTGATACAGACTACAGATCCACCCCCACCCTGCTGCTCCTCTGGGTCTAACGTCCCTGTGTGGATTCTTACACTTTAACTTTGAACCGTTCTCTTGGTGTAACACCATCAGGACTCTCAGCTAATGTTTGTGTGTTTACAGGTGTGAGGAAACGACAGGTGACTGCATTCTTACACATCTTCAAACAGATTCATATCTGAAACATCTTCAGCAGCTCAGATCTAAAATAACTCGTTAATGGTTAATAAGAAGTTTCCTGACAGGAAGCCGTGATGAAGTAAGAAGCCGCATCTCACCTCAGAGCTGCTACGTCCTCTCCTCCTCCTGAAGATCTCCGTTACCTCCGTTTGTTCTCACACACCTTCTTCTTTTAGTCCTCCTCTCCTCTAAAGTCTTTAAACTCTGCAGCTGTGTCTCTGAGGTCAGCACCAGTGACTCTCACACTCCCTCCTCTGCTCACTCTCTCCCTCACACTCTGCTCAATCACTCCTTTGTGTTACCTCACCTCTCTCTCTCACACACACACAGACACACACAGACACACACAGACACACACAGGGAGGGAGTTGCATAAAGGAAGTTGGGTCAGTGTGCTGTCCGTGTCAGATAACAGTCTCTGAACAGAGCAGCTGAAAAAACTTTTAAACAGAGTCTGAGAAAAAAAAACTTTCACAGATTTTAATTCACACAAAGATTTTCAGAATAAAATAAACTCTTATATTATATAAAGTGATTTATGATATGTGATTCAATATGTTCACTTTGTGTCACATTTTCGGTCAGATTTTAGTTCCACTCTTTCTCTGCTCGTCAGACTGAATAAACTTCACTCAGCAGAGATCTTCAGCTCATTAAACCAGAAGTTTAACTGACATTTCAGACCTGTACTTTTAGTCACTTCTGTGTCTCTGTTTCTCTCCACACTCAGAAACATTTGAGATATGTGTTAATGTAAACGTGCTCCATGGCCACAGGCAGTAACTCAGAGCTTTCACATGACCTCACACACTAAAGGACCTGCCCACCTGGCATGCAAGAAAGTCTCTCTACTGCTGCACGCTGCCAAGAACTGCTCAGTCTCAGAGTCCCCCCCATGTCTTAACATATTCCTTTAACAAACATTAAAGCTCCTGACAAACCGTTACACCGCGCCTGCCTGTCAATCAGGTCAGCTACATGCCTTATTGTGAATAACTCTTATCCTTCATTAAATCAAAACTGATGAGTCATCAAAACATTCACCCCCTGTACAGTGTGTGCCGATTGAGACATGAGCTAATAGCACCTGTCTGTTTTTTGAACCAGGCTGTAAACATGTTAATCTCTGCTGTAAAAACTGGCTTTTAGAATTGTAAATGGACATGAGCTTATAAAGCGCTTTTACACCGCAGATCACACCTTCACATTCACACCCTGATGGTAGAGGCTGCTATGTAGTGAGACCATCAGAAGTAACTAATCCGATTCATACACCGCCAAAGAAGCAGTTGGAGCAATTCGAGGCTAAGTGTCTTGCCCAAGGACAACTTGGACATGTTGCTGCAGGAGCTGGGGATTGAACCCTTGTCCGTCTGGTTGAGAGACGATGACTCTACCAACTGAGCCACAGCCACCTGTGTGTGTGACTTCCTGTGCTTCTGCAGCCAGCCTCTAGTGGACACTCAAGGAACTGCAGGATTTTACACTTCAGCATCATCTTCATTTTTCAACACCAGAGGAAATGGTGTCTCACGTAGTCACAGTTCATCTTTATATAGGATCAATGTGATCACTCACCGTGACCTCACACAGACATCTGCCGGACGCACACTTCCAGATGTTTGTGTCCACACGTAAAGCCCTAAAGGACAAAATAAGGAAATGTTTCTGTCTTCACCCGGAGTTTCTCCTCCAGCCTCCTTGTATTTATTCTGCAGAAAGTCAGAGTGAGCTGATGTGAGAACGCAGCAGGATATAATCAGGAGAATTCACCTGGAACGAGTGGGAGGGGGTGGTGACGTTTATTCCCTGTGATCGCTGCACGACCATAGACTGTCTGCACGCCACCTCTAATGAACCTGCTGCATTATGTTTCCTGTAGCATTGATAGAAAGACACATATTCTCCTGAAATTCTCTAGAAATGTTCAGGAGTGTAGATGTGAAAACAGTAGTAGTGTGTATGTGTTTGTTTGGAAGTGAAGCAGAGCGACAGAGAGCACAAGGTAATGCGATAAGGAGCTAACGATCACCTGACCATGAGACATGTCTACATACGTTTATAATCTAACCCAGAACTTCCAACAGATATGCGTGTGCTGCTCCCTCGTTCATCAACAGCCACAGGCGGCGTTCTCAGAGCACAGCACGGAGCAGCGGCGCCGGACAGCTGGAGTCACGAGACAAAGGAGTTCCCGCTGTAATTCTACAGATTCACTCCCAACAGCGAGATAATACGATGTTTTTGATATAAACACATCAAAAAACACACAGATGGTCGTTGTTCTGAAACGTGACCACAAAGTGTTTTATTCTGAAAATAAACAGCATGTTTTAATGTTGTTTCTGTGTCTGACTTCCTGTTCCGCTCGATCTGCTCCGTCATCCTGCAGAAACAGAAGCTGCAGAGGACTCTGGACTGACGGAGCGGAGACGCAGCGGAGCGTGTGGAAGCACACACACTGCTAATGCTAACGTGACGGAGTGAACACGCGGTGACTGGATTTTTCAACAGGATGAGACGTCAGGTTGAGATAAACTCTCGGAGACAGGTTTCATGTTTTCACTCGTGTTTGATGATTTTACTTTTGAAATCAGTGATGAAACAAAAATAATGAAAGGTACAAATAAGACTTTACACAAACTGAGTCAGCTGGACTGTGGGAGGAGTCTTCTTTTTTATTAAACCTCACTCTACTTTTACCTTTATTAACCTGGTCGATGGAACGTCACTCACAAAGACGCCTCACGTCTCAACAGAAGTGACGTGAACACTGAGAGCGTTCAACCATGATGGAGGATGTGGCGAGGAGGCAACGTCTCTAATGATACAGTCTCCATGGTAACCTCGACAACATCAGTTCAAGTCTATGAGCGGTTTGATCCAGACGCTCCGTCCTCATCGTCAGGAGGACAGGCGACGAAATCAGCCAACATGGACGCCATCGACTCCTCGTCCATCTGAGAGAGAGAGGGAGCGAGAGAGAGAGAGAGCGAGGGAGATGAAACATGTTTATGATAATGCTTTTAATTCCTTTTTAAGCCTCACCCCCGGAGAAGCCGTGATATAAAAAATTCAGTTTGACTTTCATGAGACAAATGTCCGATCATAATGACTTAAGTCGTAGTGTCAAGTGGGAGGAGCTCGAGAGCAGCGCGGGTTTCCTTCACTCTCTCTGGCTCCTCCCACTTTACCAAATATGGCCATGTGCAGTTAAAAAAAAAAAAAACATTTAAAGGAACCTCCTCCCTATACCTTCATTTACCTTTTTCTTCTCTGAGCCTTGTCCCGCCTCTTCCTCCTTCTGCTCGCCCTCCCTCTTCCTCTTCACTCCCTTCCCCTCCTCTCCTTCACTCTCTCCTCCTCTTGCCTCCTCAGCTCCTTCTGTCTCTCCTTTCTCAGCCTCCGTCTCTTCTCCTGGCAGTTTAGGATCTGTGGATGTTTCAGGATTGGCTGCTGCAGACTCTTGTTCCTGAAGCGCTGGTTGTAGCTCCTCCTGCAGGCTGGAGGTGGGATCTTCACTCCCCGTCACCTCCTCCTCCGCAGCTCCTGACTCCTGCTGACGAGAACAGAGACACTTTATAAAGATTTTTTTAAAGATTCTGTTTTCATTTATTCACATCCCGATGTGTTTGGATTTACAGATTCTTCTTCTTCTGCGTCTTTACTCGTGCGTCTCGACTTTTTTGACATGTAGCAACACTAGGCTGTCGGACAAGCAGCAGAAACATCCTATAAAGAAAGATCTTACTAAATTCTAAAGATATTTGTGAACGTTCAAAATGTTTGTTTTTGGAACGAGGTTCGGTTTGAGCAGCTGTGATGCAGCGCAGGACGTCAGGAGAAAATCTCAAAGCAACGACAGTTTGGATTGAAGGTTTCTGAAGCATCCTGGAAGTCAGGGAATCTAAATGCTGATTGGTGCTGGCAACACAGCACCACACACACACACACACACACAACACGACTCATACTGTGAGTGCATCATCAGCCAACGACTTTCTCTGTAACCTCGTGACCTAAAACCAGAACCTGCTGCAGGTTTGGAGTTCTTACAAACATCTGTGAACACACAGCTGTTTGACAACATCTGGTTAACTTCCTCTTATCGTCTGTTTCTAAATCAGGGAACATTTCTTCTCCAC